TTCAACAAATGCTTTGAGGGGCAGGAGAGATTGAATGACTAGTGAATAGATACTACTTATTTAAAATAATCCTTTTTACTTTTAGCAAAAATGCCTCCATACATTTTATGCTCTATTTGAATTTTCAATTCGCTTTTCATATATTTCATTTTATGTTGAAAACAATTTATTACCTCCCTAAACTATTGCAGTGGGCTCATAACAGATGATATTCACACCAATGAGCAAGCCCAGAGCAAGCTCTAACTCTGACATATGCTAGGTATCATGAGTTCGAGGTGTGACTGGCATGTGCAAATGGGTTATGTCCCATGGGCAGCTGGAAATGCTGCATCATATAGCTCAGGAGAAAAATCAAGCCTAGAAATAGAGATATGGTAACTATGCATCCATGTTTCACCCTAAACCATGAGACTAAATGAGCTCTCCCGACTCTGAGAGGAGAGAGAGATAAGGCACCAAGGATAGTACTTTCAAAATAAGTACCTGTTAGGGGTAGGAAAAGAAGGTAAGTCATGAAAAGAATAAGCAGAAACTCAAGGCAAACTTGGTTCAAATTCAAATTCTAGTTTACTCTGCTTGGCCTCATACACATTGACCCCCCCTTTATCCTGTCTTCCTCGTGTTGTGAAATGAGACCTGTAAAGTTGCTATGAAGAATTACATGGACTCTAATAAAGAGCTAATTACAGTGCTAAATAATTCACTTATCAGTTATTGTTATTTTGTAGAAAGATGGTTTTCTCTTTGTGAAATTCTACTTTTCCAAATCAAATGCCATTGAATTTTAGAAGGCTGCTGTGAGAGACAGCAAATGGATTGCCCATCTGATTTAAAAATGGATGAAGAGTCATTAAGTTCACACATTTTTATTTAGCAAATTGAATCCATTTCACCAAAGGAAGTCATTTACCCCATCCATGATAATAATTATAATTAGGCAACAAGGAAACATGATCCTGAAATTAGAGAGTTTAAGAGCTGCTTCCAGAGTTGTAACAAATGCTTAACAGAAAAAATGAAAGACGCACTAACACATATTAATAAATTGTGTATGTTTATTTAGAGGATTGGGTATGGGTTGGTTAAAGGACAGAATACTGAACTAAAAGCAAAAGAATGACAACAAGTAAAAAATAGAAACCTCTGGCGTCTTGTTCCCACATAAGACTTATGGAATTGTGCCAACCTGCTTCATTCCAGAGCAGAGAGCCACTCACTGAGGCTATATTAGAGATAGAGGAAGGAAATCCTTCCTCCCACTCTGTTTCCAAAGATAATAACAGAAAACTAGAGAATGATGGACTTCACTACCAAGCAGCCATGTTTATTTTATTCATGTCCCCCATTGACTCTCTAAAAGTCAATTCTACTAGTTTTGCCTTATAGAGCAAAAGAAATACATGTACAAAAACAAAGAAAATCAATTTTGCAAAACTCATAATATCCCTATATCGTCCAAAGAATAACTGCCATAGTCACTAAACTTAAACTGTAACATCATTCCTATCAGGCCTTCAATTGTACTGAAAAGCATGAAGCTCATCACAGAGTAAGGTGAAATAAACTCAGTCGTGGACATAGTGAATCACCTTTCTTCAACTCTAAATAAAAACCCTGCCCAACAGTCTGAGTAACCCACACACACACACCCCAAGTCACCCCCACTTTTTTTCTCTTGGGTCTTGTGCACAGAATTAGATTGACACAATCAGTCATGCTCCTCAAAGTTCAACTGCTGGAACTGGTCCATGAAAAGCCTGTTTTATTCTATTGTTTTTGGTCACATTCTGTATCCCCCAGCCTCAGTTCCAGTCCCCTCCTCCCTTCCTATGGGCATTCACTCTGTAGTAGTTAATGGGTGGCCTTCCAATCAACTTTCCATAACTTCTTTGACATATGACATATACCTTTACAATGATACATAGCTTTTTGTGTGTATGGATTTTTAAATTTACACAAATCGTATTGTACTTCTCATCTCTCTTCTCCTCTCTCTCTCTTGCCCGCTCTCTCTCCGCTTAGCATTACATTTTCATGGTCTATCAGTGTTGAACTATACAGATGCAGTAAACACCACAGGTTAGCTCACTCAACACATAATCCTAGCTCTCCCTTGCCTTTCACAGCTATGAAAGCAGGCCATTAGATTTCCCAGACTTCTTTGCAACTCAGAATGGCATGTGGCAGAATTCTGGCCAATGAGGTGTCAGCAGATGTCTGCTGAGGGGGTTTCTGGCAAAGCTTTTACTTTCCCTCTAAAAAGGGAGTCAGACCATGTTGCCATGGCCCTTGGTCCTTCTTTCTACTGTCTGTGGTCTGATGCATGGACATAAAGCAGTCTTACTGCAAAGCGGACGAGGAAAGATGACAGAGCAGAACTATAGAAAGACCTTGGGTCCTTGATATCATCAGCTGTGAACTTTTTACCTACAGATTCCTTGTTATTTGAGAAAAATGGGTTCCCGACTAATATAATTGATTTAGTTTGTTATTTTTTGTTTGTAGCATTCTATCAGATGCATCTATAATGTATTTTATCTGTCCATATCCCTACTCAAGAATATTTAGGTCATATCCAGCTCTTTGCTGTGGGAAACAATGCCATGATAAACATTCTCATACATGTCTCTGCGTGTACCTATACAAGAGTCCCTCTGACATATTCTGCTATGGGCTGAATTGTGCCCTCCCCAAAATTCATATGTTTGTAGTCCTAACCCCCTGTACCTCAGAATGTAGCTGTATTTGGAAATAAGGCCTTTAAAGATGCGATGAAGTTAAAATAAGGCCACTTGGGTGGGCCCTAATCCAAGGATTGGTACTCTTATAAGAAGAAGGGATTAGGACACAGATACACACTGAGGGATGACCATGTGAGTGTGAAAACATAGTAAGGAGACAGCCATCTGCAAGCCAAGGAGAGAGGCCGCAGGGGAAACCAAACCTGCTGACACCTTAATCTTGAACTTCTAGCCTTCAAACCATGAGAAAATAAATTCCTGCTGTTTGAGCCACCAATCTGTGGTTCTTTGGTTATGGCAGCCCTAGAAAACTAATACAATTCAGAAGTAGAATTTCTAGGTCAGAATGCATGCGAGTATTCAATTTCAACAAATATTCCAAATTGGTCTCCAAAATAACACCACCAGCAGAACATGTGGGTTCACATGTCCCCATCTCACCAGCACAAGATACTGCATGACATTTCAACTTCTGCCAACACAGGAGGAACAAAGCGGATCTCATTGTTGTTTTAATTTGCATTTCTGATTACCAAAGTAATTGGTGATCTGTTTTAGGTTGGCTAGCCACCATTCAAGTATCCCTTCAATGAATTGCATACATTATTTTTTACCCATTTTTCTTCTAGCTGCATGATTTTTCTTACTGATTTCCAAGAATTCTCTGTATATTCCATATATAATCCTTTGTCAATAATATTCCTTGAAAATATCCTCTCCCTGCTTGATGTCTCTCTTTGTATCCTTAAACAGTCTACCATCTGTATATGAAAGTTCCATTTTCTTCACATCCTTACAAATACTAGGTTATTGCCAGACATTAATTTTTACCAGTCTAATAGGTATGATAAGGTATCCCATCGTTGTTTTAATCCGTATGTACCCAATAACTAGTGAAACAAGCTAAACATCTTTTCACTTATTTATTGGTTATTCCAATTTTCTCTTCTTCAAATTACTTTCTCCTTATCATTGACCCATTTCCCTGCTGAATTGTTCTTTTCCTTATTTTTCAGGAGTTCTTATAAAATCTTATCCTAAATCATTTTTGTTGAATGGTCTATAAGTTGGCTATTTCCACAATAATGATACATAACAAACCACCCTAAAACTCAGTAGCATGAAGCAGCATTTATTTTCTCTTGTGCATTTTCAGGTTGGCTGGAAGCTGGCTAATCCAGGATGGACCTGGCGGTGCTCACTCCAAGCTGTAGATTTGGAATCCAGATCTGTTCTACATGCTTCTCATCCTCCTTGGACAAGTAGGCTACCAGGAGCATGTTCTTCCCATGGCAACGACAAAAATACAAGGAGGGCAAGTGAAAACATAGAGTGCCTCTTAAGGTATGAGCTCCAAACTGGCACTTTGACTCTTCTGCTCACATTTCAATGGGCAAAGCAAGTCACATGGCCAAGTCTAACGCTAATGGGGCAGGGAAATATACTCCTCCTCTACTGGGAAGAACTGCAGTGTCACATGGCAAAGGGCGTGGACACAGGGAAGGAGACGAATAGGGAACAATGAAGCAATCCACGTTATATGGATGACTGGTAACTATATCCTCTCAATTGGTAGCTTTTATTTAGCTTCTTTTTTGTTGTTTAAAGATTGGCACCTGAGCTAAAAACTGTTGCCAATCTTTTTTTTTTCTGCTTTTTCTCCCCACATCCCCCCAGTACATAGCTGCATATTTTAGTTGTGGGTCCTTCTAGCTGTGGCATGTGGGACGCTGCCTCAGTATGGCCTGATGAGTGGTGCCATGTCCTTGCCCAGGATCCAAACCAGCGAAACCCTGGGCCACCAAAGCAGAGTGCACGAACTTAACCACTCAGCCATGGGGCCAGCCCCTATTTATCTTCTTTTATGGTGTCTTTTTTTTCTCACAAAGAAGTTTTATATTAACGTAATTAAATATTTCATTCTTTTATTTTATTGCTTATGTTTTCAGAGTCCTATTTAAGAAATGATTTCCTACACTAAGATCATAAACTCATTCTTCTGTTTCTCCCTAGAGGGATGCAATCACAAGGATCAACGACCAATATATTTTAAATTAGCATATGTATAAATGCAAGATTATATAATGCAAACTAAGGGCCAAGAGACCAAAGTTAAACAAGTAATCAAAGTTAAAAATAATTACCCCAGGATGACTACTTATTACAGGAGAAATTTTGAGGTAGGTCTTTTAAAAATGGATACAAGCTGACAAAGAAGAAAAAGATGCAGGAATCATAAAGAATCACAAAACTTGATATTCTTCCATTAATATATCTTTATTGATCTAAACTATATATTCAAAACTGCAAAGCACAAGACCACAAGAAAATACATTCAGTCTTCTCAGGTCATAACATCTAGGAGAGAGAAAAAAGAAACTTTTACAGAACTTATCAAGTATTAAACAATATATGTTATGATGACATATTTGTAAAATATATATGTACATGTGGTAATAGTAGGATCTACTTCAATAGTTTTGGGTAAAAATGAGGTCCCACCTGTTATTTTTTCCAAATTAAAACCACTTCTCAATTGCCAGACTAGCAGGGAGTCCAAGGTCTCTCTTGTCTATCAAATTGTTCAAAAACTCTGGGGGCCTCTTGATCCACCTCAGAGGGAGAAAACCAGAGAGTCTGAGAGAATACAAGCTGAAGGCTGCTGGTGTTCTGCTCCTGGCACAGTTTACTGATGAAAACGGATCCCCCACAGGCCAGGGTGACCTTTTCGCCTGGTGTGCGCTGGCCTTTGCTGTTGCAGATTCCAATAGTGGCCACAGTGATTCTTCAAGAGAGAAGCAGCCTGCTCCTCAGAGGTAAGACGGCATCCGCGCCAACAGCTTTTTAGTTTACAGAGCACAGTGGCCGAGTCAGGAGGGCCTTCTGCCTCCAGTCGTGCCCATGACCGGATAGCCTGTCCCATCGGGTAATGCCGGCCACAGCAGGGCTAACAGCTTAAGGTCTTCAATGTTCCTTCTTATTAGATCCTTTCTTAATCAGAACCGGCTCAATGCATAGAAAACTTTCTAATAATAAAGACATTGGAAAAGGAGGAGTCCAGGTCTGCACTCTTTTCCTCTCTGAAGACTCCCAGACTCTTTACAAATTTCTTCCAGTCCTCCCAGTGTTGACAGCCCTGCAGGTGCATGAAGACTGGGAAGAGAGACCTTTATCAAATCAGAAAAAGACCCTGTTACACCCGTACCTGAGACACAAAAGGGTAAAGACCTCACTAAGGATTTGCAAACGCTGGGGGAAAATTTCTCTTACATTAGGGTTGCTAGATAAAATACAGAATGCCCAGTTAACTTTGAATTTCAGATAAATGATGAATAGTCTTTTGGCATAAGTATAGCCTATGCAATATTTGGGACATACTTATACTTAAAAAAAGTATTGGTTGTTTACCAAAAATTCAAACCTAACTGTGTGCCTTATATTTTTATTTGCTAAATCTGGCCATTCTACCTTATCTACTTCATTAATGGGACAAATTATGGGGTGGAGAGCTAGAACTCCCTTGTGCCTAAATTTAAAACAGCCACAGAGCCAGACCCGCACATCCATGTATCCTGACATCCTATCAAGGACTTGGGGCTGACGGAGCCCATCAAAAAAACCCCCTCTCACCCCTTCCTGCACAGTAGCTGCTTGTTTGATAGCCAGACATGTTTCCTGGCCACCTCTTAGCAATACATATACTCTGTTATACTATACTCTGTTAGAAGGTTTTAGTTCCCAGAAATGCAACATGGGATAAAAGGGGACAAGGAAAGAATAACATATTGTGCCCTGGGATATGAGATCCCCAACACTAGGGGAAAACATAAGAAAAACACTGGCAGAGGGTATTCTAGAGATTAGGTTTGGTGCATCTCTTTTAGAAAAGTGAATCTAAATTTTACAAAGTGAATTCAAATTATCTCGGGTTAAATTTACCTCCAAGTAGAGGACAAAATAACAGAAATAAGAGAAGACTTGCCCCAATGGATATGTACCTCCTGTAGCCCAGAAATTTAGCAAGATATTTGCCCTCCACATTAAGATGTGAGAGGGAAATTCTGTAGTTCCAAAGTTGATAGTGATGGAGCTGAAAGGGGATGTACACATCTCACTGATGACAAACACCAGGACTGAATAAATCTGTTGTCTTTCAAAAATAAATAAATAGAAAAAATCCAAAATTAAAAAGACCATATAACATAAAGGAGGAAGACAATGTCTTAAATATGGAAGGGAAAATTATCCTCACAAAAAAGAAAATTTAGAATACACCTACTCTGTGTTTTCAGTGAAATACGCAAATACATAAATTCTGGGAAAGAAGTGATGAAAAAACTAAATTAAATGAAAAGAAACTTGACTGAAATGAGAGGTCAAGATAAAAAGAGACAAAGCAAAGATTTAAAAATAAAATAATTCAGGGACCAGCCCCGTGGCCGAGCGGTTAAGTTTGCGCGCTCCGCTGCAGTGGCCCAGGGTTTGGATTCTGGGCGCAGACACGGCACCGCTCGTCAGGCCACGTTGAGGCGGCATCCCACATGCCACAACTAGAAGGACCTACAACTAAGATATACAACTATGTACTGGGGGGGGTTGGGGAGATAAAGCAGGAAAAAAAAGATTGGCAACAGTTGTTAGCTCAGGTGCCAATCTTAAAAAAATAAAATAAAATAACATAAGATAAAATAATTCAGAGCCAGCCCTGATGGCTCAGTAGTTAAAATTTGGCGCTCACCCCTCCAGCAGCCCAGGTTCACTTCCTGGTCACAGACCACACCACCCACACCACCTGTCTGTCACTTGCCATGCTGTGAGGGCAGCTCACATAGAAGATCTAGAACAACTTACAACTAGGATTTACAACCATGTACTGGAGCTTTGGGGAGGGAAAAAAAAAAAAAAGAGGAATATTGGGAACAGATGTTAACTCAGGGCCTGCCTTCAAGGAATTCAGAGACTGGCGGAGAACATTTTTCAAAAAATACTAATAATAATATTAAATAAAAATAGTTAAATACATAGAATAATTCAGCAAAATGAAAAAGATAATAAGGTAATTAAAATAAGAATTGGAGGAATCACTCCTCTCCTTTATCTTCTGCCTCTTTATCAGCAACTTCATCATTCAGAGAGCAAAAGAAGCAAAGAATGGAACTGCTACCCTGGGCTTAATTCTTGCCAACAAAGAGCAATATATTAGTGAAGTGAAAGTGACAGGAACTTTGGGAGAAATTGAACATACTACCTTAGAGTTCATTACACCCAAAGAAGAAAACACAAAACAAAATAAGACAAGTATCTTAGATTGCTTAGCAGTTCAGAGAAAATACAAGACTGTCCCAGAGCCAGAGATTCTAAAATGAAAGCCAGGTCAAAAAATAAAACTCACTATTGCAATCACAAATGAGGACAAAATGGGAGAAACATACGCAAACATAACTCACTGTGGCATACAAGGAGCTTTCTAAAGAGCTGAGAATTTTAAAGGACATACAAAGAATGAAAAGGGTAAAGGTAAGGATGAGCACATCAGTTAGATGTTAAAAGGTTTCCCATTCTCAGCACTATTGACATTTTGGACTGGCTAATTTATTGTAGGGGGTTGTCTTGTGTGTTGTGGGATGTTTAGCAGCATCCTTGGCCTCTGTATGCTAGATACCAGTAGTACTAGCCTCCTACTTGTGACAACCAAAATTTCTCAGACATTGCCAAATGTCCCCTGGGGAGCAAAAGTACCCTGGGTTGAGAACCAATATATTACAGAGCACTGAAAAACTTGCATATATTATCACAGAATCATTGTTGGCATCTTCGAGTAATCACAGCATTGGGAATTGACAAACGTTCTTCCATACATCAAAAAAGTAAGTTCTAAAAATTAAAACCAATAAATTTGCTGTTGATTCCCAGTAAGTTTTAATATAGTATCAAAATATTATTAATTGGAAAAGAGAGAAATGATTTCATGATATCTTGGCATAGTTTCATTAAGAGCCACTCATACTAAATGAATTTAATTTTCTTCTCTTCCTTTTTTTTCCAATCTCACCTCTAAAAAAGATAAACTGGTTTCACTAAATCATCTTTTAAACCCTTTGTGAAATCTTCTTTGACAAGATAAAGAAATGTGAGCTGTCTCATCCACTATTGGTTGAAGTATACACTGGTAAATCTTTTTGGAAGGCCCTCTGGCAATATCCATAAAATTTTATGTGCACAAGTTCTTAGACTGAGCAATACCACTTTTAAGAATTTGAACATGTGTACAAAGATGCATGTCAAAGATTGCAGTATTGTTTGTGATAACAAAAAGCTAGAAACAACCTAAATGTGCATCAATGAGGGACTAGTTAAATAAATTGTCATATATTCTTTCATTGGTGTGACTTTGTGACTAGAGGAAAAGCCTTAGGAAATATACAGAATCCAATTGGATGTCATTTGCCTAGTAGGAGGGGAGATATGAAAAACATTTCACAATCTTCATGGCTTGGGCCCCAACCAGAGCTTAGCCAGGAGATGGGCCTTGGAAGGCCCCTGCTGTGCCAGGTGTTCACCCTTTAGTTGCTGGGTCTAGGAAACGTCTAGAGGGTCCCAGGCAGAGGCCAAGAGGAAGAAAGCCACCAGAGAGGGGGGAGAGGGAGTGCAAAAGCATTTTATATTTTAACAATTTGTATGGCCTTACTAGGGAATATCAGTCTTCACCAACAGAAAGCAACAACATTAAAATAATCCAGAATAGCATGGAGCGATAAACTGGTTAAATTTAATCAAGTAGCAGCAACAATAAAGAGTGAAGTAAATTTATACATACTGATATGGGACAATTTTTTTTTATTTACACCAGCAACTGGTAGCAGTTGCCTCATGAGAAAGGGACCATGGAACTGAGGGCTTGGGGTCAGGGCAGAAGGGAGACTTATTTTGATTGTAATCCCTTTGTGGCAGATGGTATAGGTTTGCTAACACCTCTTCCAGCCCTGGTCCAGCTTTCCTCCTCCTCTACAGAGACTGGAAAGCTAAGACATCTGCTTTCCTCAGACTCCCCGACAGGAGCGGGACCCAGATCTCACCAAACACACACAGCTTGGGTGAGATTTTCAGGCATCAGATCCTCCTGAGAAAGCTGTGCGGGGCTCCTACTGCCCAGCCAAAAAGTCAGCAATGGCGGAAGCTGGTACCTCTGCAGGACCATGCCTCGGGTACCGCTGGACATTTTTCCTAGCTGCCCTGTCTTTGGCTATTTCTCTGGCTCTCCCAGAGAATCTATGAGCTATCTAATGTCATTTATGAAATTCTTTCTGCTGAAGCCAGCTAGAACAGACTCTTGGTGGCAAGAACCCTGGCTAAGACACCCTTTGTAAAAGTAAAAAGTAAAAATAAATGTGCAGATATAACTTTTTCAGTTTAAAAAGTTAATTTTTATAGAAGGTTAAAAAAATAACAGACATGCAAGCTAGATGGTGGCACAGTTCAGGGAGGAAACACCTGGTCAAAGAAGCAAATCCCAAAGAGCCAGCCTAGAGATCTGGGTCTGAAAAACCCATCTGAACATCAGCTGTGTCTCAACTGCCAGAGGCACTTCTTAAAAATACAAATGGGGGCAGGGCCAGCCCAGGCGCAGTGGTTAAGCTCGCACGTTCCACTTCGGCGCCCCAGGGCTCACCGGTTTGGATCCCAGGTGCGGACCTACACACCACTTGTCAAGCCATGCTGTGGCAGGTGTCCCACATATAGAACAGAGGAAGATGAGCACGGATGTTAGCTCAGGGCCAGTCTTCTGTGGCAAAAAAGAGGAGGATTGGCAGCAGATGTTAGCTCAGGGCTAATCTTCCTCAAAAAACAAAAAAAAATACAAATGTGGACTCAAATTGAAGGCTCTCCTTCTTATAAATTATAACCAATTTAAAACTATGATGGAAGGAAAGATAACATTTATGATAGCAACAAAAGTTCGTAAAATACTTGTGTAAAGACAACTTTAAAACTCTACTGAAGGACATAAAAGAAGAATTAAGTAAACAAAAAGATGATATATAGGCAGATTAAATATTACAAAGGTGTCATTTCTCCCAGAATTAAAATATTCACAGGCTATTATAAGAATTTGATAAAATGTTTTACTAAAATTTATCTGGAAATAAACATTATGTGATTATATCTAGGAAAACCCTAATGGGACAGAAAAGGATAAGGAGAAGAATTAATCCTTCCAGGTATTAAAATATGTTATGAAATAATGTTATTTTAAAAGTATGAGTTGGAGAAAAATTAGATAAGAATATTACTAGAAAGGAAAGAGAGTTGAGAAACAGATGCTAATATAAATTTAGATTATGATAAATATGGCATTTCAAATTAGCAGGAAAAAGAGTGATTCTTAATTAAATCAAATTGGATGAACTGAATAAAGATTTAAAAGAAAAGTTAAAATAAAAGTGTCTCTCAGCCTCATTCTTTGCTCAAAATCAATTCCAGATATAGCAAAGATTTTAAAATTCTGAAAGAACGTATGAGTGAATTTATGTATACAGTTATGTATACATAACTGAAGTAGAAAGCCCTTTCTAAGCAAACACAAAATCCAGAAACCATAAAAGAAGAGGTTTAAAAATTTGAGTACAAAAATATTTAATTTTCTGTATAATTTAAAAATAAAGCATAAGGGCTGGCCCAGTGGTGTAGTGGTTAAGTTCACACACTCCACTTCAGCAGCCCAGGGTTCATGGGTTCAGATCCCAGGTGCAGACCTACACACTACTCATCAAGTCATGCTTTGGTGGTGTCCCACTACAAAATAGAGGAAGACTGACACAGATGTTAGCTCAGGGCAAATCTTCCTCAAGCAAAAAGAGGAAGATTAGCAACAGATGTTAGCTCAGGGCCAGTCTTCCTCACCAAAAAAAATTTAAATAAGACATAAAATATAAAAGTCAAAAAATAAACAACAACTTAAGGGAGAATACTTACAACACATTAAACAGACAAAAAGCTAATTTGCTTAATTTACTAGGGGTGGATAACAATTTTAAAAATGAGTACTGGAAGTCCTTGTCAGCGCAATCAGACAAGAAAAAGAAAAACAAGGCATCAGAATTTGAAAAGAAGAAATAAAATTGTCTCTATTTGCAGATGACATGATTTCATATATAGAAAATCCTAAAGACTTCACCAAAAAACTGTTAGATATAATCAAGGAATTCAGTAAAGTTGTAGGATACAAAATTAACATAAAAAGTCAGTAGTGTTTCTATACACTAACAACAAATTATCTGAAAAAGAAATAAACAAAATAATCCCATTTACGATAGCATCAATAACAATAAAATACTTAGGAATAAATTTATCCAAGGAGGTGAAAGATCTTTATTCTGAAAACTATAAGACATTGATGAAAGAAATTGAAGATGACACAAATAAATGGAAAGGCATCCCATGTTCATGAATTGAAAGAATTAATATTGTTAAAATATCAGTATACCAAAAGCCATCTATAGATTCAATGCTATCCCTATCAAGATTCCAATGGCGTTTTTTACAAAAGTAGACAAAACAATCCTAAAATTTATATAGAGGGTCTGGCCCCGTGGCCAAGTGGTTAAGTTCGTGCGCTCCGCTGCAGGCGGCCCAGTGTTTCATTGGTTTGAATCCTGGGTGCGGACATGGCACTGCTCATCAAACCACGCTGAGGCAGCGTCCCACATGCCACAACTAGAAGGACCCACAATGAAGAATATACAACTATGTACCAGGGGGATTAGGGGAGAAAAAGGAAAAAATAAAATCTTTGGAAAAAAAAAATAATTTATGCAGAACTACAAAAGACCCCAAATAGCTAAAGCAATCCTCAGAAAGAGGAACAAAGCAAGAGACATTATACTTTCTGATTTCAAGCTATACTATAAAGCTATAGTAATCAAAACAGTATGGTACTGGCATAAAAACAGACACATAGACCAATGGAAGAGAATCAAGAACCCAGAAATAAACCCAAGCATACACAGTCAACTAATATATATAAATACATATATATTATACATATATATATTGGTGAGGAAGATTAGCCCTGAGCCAACATCTGCCACCAAGCCTCCACTTTTTGCTGAGGAAGATTGGCCCTGAGCTAACAGCTGTGCCCATCTTCTCCTATTTTATACTTGGGATGCCTGCCACAGCACGGCTTGACGAGTGGTGTGTAGGTCCATGCCACGGATCTGAACCGGTGAGCTCCAGGCCACCAAATCGGAGTGTGTGAACCTAACCACTACACCACCGGGCCACCCCCACAGTCAACTAAAATTTGATAAGGGAGCCAAGAATATTCAATGTGGAAAAGACAATCTCTTCAATAAATGGTGCTGGGAAAATTGGATATTCACATATAAAAGAATTAAACTGAACCCCTATCCTACACCACTCACAAAAATTAACTCAAAATGGGTTAAAGACTTAAATGTAAGACCTGAAACCATGAAACTCCTAGAAGAAAACATAGGAAAAAAGATCTCTGACATGGACCTTGGTAACCATTTTTTGGATGTGACTTGCAACAAAATCAAAAATAAACAAGTGGAACTACATCAAAATGAAAAACTTCTGCACAGCAAAAGAAACAATCAACAAAGTGAAAATACAACCTACAGAATGGGAAAAGAATATTTGCAAACCATATACCTGAAAATGGGTTAGTAACAAAAATATATAAAGAACTCACACAACTCAAAAGCAAAGAAACCAAATAATCCAATTTAAAAAATGGGAAAAATTTCTGATTAGACATTTTTCCAAATACAATATATGAATGGTCAACAGGTACATGAAAAAATGGTCAACATCACTAGTCACTAGGGAAATGCAAACCAAAACCACAATGAGATATCACCTCACACCTGTTAGTATGGCTGTCATCAAAAAGACAAGAGATAACGTGTCAGGGAGGATGTAGAGAAAAGGGAACTCTGTGCACTGTTAGTGGGATTGTAAACTGATACAGCTACTATGGAAAACAGTATGCAGTATCCTCCAAAAATTATAAATAGAACTACTATATGATCCAGCAATTCCACTTCTGGGAATATAACCAGGAAACAAAAACACTAACTCAAAAAAGTATCTGCACCCCCATCTTCATAGCAGCATGTGTATAATAGCCGAGACACAGAAACAACCTAAGCATCCATCAATGGATGAATGGGTAAAGAAGTTGTGACATATATGTACGATGGAATATTACTCAGCCATAAAAATGAGGAAATCCTGCCATTTACAACAACATAGAAAAAGAGATTAGATTTGTGGTTACCAAAGGTGTGGGATGGGGGTGGAAGGAATTGGAGGAAGGTGGTCAAAAGTCACAAACTTTTCGTTATCAGATAAATAAGTACTAGGGATGTAATATACAACCTGATGACTATAGCTAACACTGCTGTATCATGGGCACAAAAGTTGAGAATAAATCCAAAGAGGTCTCATCACAAGGAAAAAAAATTTTCCTGTTTCTTTCTTTGCTTTTTCTTTTTATTGTATCAACATGAGATGAAGGATGCTAACTAAACTTATTGTAGTAATTGCTTCATAATATATGTAACTCAAACCGTTGTGCTATACACCTTAAACTTATACGGTGACATACGTCAATCATATGTCAATAAAACTGGGGGGGAAAAGAAAAGAAAAAACGGGCAAAGGATGCAATTAAAAGGAAATGAAATGGGCTAATGAATATTTAGAGATTGCTCAATCTTACTCATAATTAATTAAATGCAAATCAAAAAAACAAGATATCATTTTCATCTACCAGACTGTCAAAAGTGAAAAAATTTGATAAAATATCATCAGTACTGGTAAGAAGTTGGGAATATAAGCTCTCAGCATACACTGTTAGTGGGGTTATAAACTGATACGAACTTCCTAAAGAAAAATATCATAATAGCTCTCAAATTTTAAATCATGCATACTCTTTAACTCTTTGGTTGATATTTCCAATTAACGGTAACACTTACTAAATTTTAAAACGAACATTCCTTTTGACCCAGCAATTCAACTTCCATGAATTTATCCTAAATATACACTTGTAAAAGTACATCAAGATATATTAACAAAGATATTTATTACAGCAGAGCAACATGAAAATACTGAAAACAGCAAACATATCCATCAATACAGAGCGAGCTAAATAAATTATACTACATTTACAAAGTAAAACACTGTGAAGCAGTTGAAGAGAAGAGGTAAATCTCCATGAATTGCTATGCATCTGCCTTAACTAAATGTAACTGTCCTAACCGGGGCGGGGGGGGGGGGGGGGGGGGGGGGGGGCGTGGCACGAAGGAGGGACACGAGATGCAGATCAATATGTAGCACTTTACGCCTTTGTTTCTTGATCTAAATAAGAGCTCCGTGAAATTAGCAGGAAGAGTAGAATGCATGGATATTGCATAGGCAACCAGCAGTGCCTATCACAGATTATTTGATTCTTAAAATTAGGATTCCTTTGTGACCCCATACTGTGAAAATAGGAACTGCTGAGTCTAACAGAAAAGCTAGTTAATCCGCAAATTTCCATGCCTAACATGACCTATGAGCTCCAGCCCTGGACTAAGACAGACCCTAGTACCTCTTCTGGAGAATCACAGAGAGATCAGTTTTATTTTATTCTTCCTTCATCCTCATCCACAAACACACACACAGTAGAAAGGAAACACCATGAGGGCAGGGCCTTTATTTGGTCCATTAGTATCTAACTCAAGCACTAAGAATAATGTCTGGTGACACACAAGCCATCTAGAATGAGTGAACAATTCCAAAGCCAACATTAGAGTAGACCGAATGCAGCCCTTCGGGGAATCCTGCCTCTCAGTCATTCTGTGTGTTCTCAACAAGCTAACCCAGGGCCTCTTTGCATTGATAATACCTTGAGAAGTATCATCAGCTGAGACTGGTAATTCACTTATCATCTAGTTAACTGTGCACTTCTATCCCAGTTCTCTACCCCATATGCATACCGATAGAGGAGATAAATGCTTGTACAGTGTAATTTAAGCACTGCTACTCAAAGTACAGGTGTGCAATGAGATAACAAGCTTGCTCTGGAATGTAAATCAATGGCTGCTTCCTTCACCTAGAAAGTCTTGCTACAAAGTCTTAGGGCATAGATGATCTACATTCTGGTACAAACTCCTTGTCTCCTTTCATGGACCAGCTAGCGACTGGGAACTGCTGATCCCATTTGGAATAGCGCTAATATAAAGTAGGGCCTAAAGTGCTCAGGTTCTAGTACTTGAGGGTCTTTCTTTGTGCTAAACATTGCCTCCTCCATCAAATCTATTTCCCCATTTATGGAGGCACCTGAAGCAGCAAAAAAATACTCATCAGGATAATGAAAAGCAGAAAAAAGAGGTGGGGAAGTGGGGGTGCCAAATAAATTTGACTTCATTTACAATTTTGCACATAGGAACTCAAAGTCACTTCTCAGACCCTGGAAGTTAGGGATTAAATTGGTAGTAAATTACTGGTTATGTCCCAGACAGCAATAATGGGGTTAAAAACAGTAATTCAGCATGTGAAAATCAGGTGTAATAGCTAATGGTCCCATTCATTTTCAAAAATTCTGTAGTCTCAATTATCTGTCTCTTTCCATTAGATAGGAAACTTGGCTAAACTCAGGAGTTCCACTCCCACAGTATCACATCACTTAAAATCCAGAATTCTAAAAGAATCATAAAACCATGCTTTTTCGGTCTCTAGACTAACATTCCCATGAGCCAGAGATCCATAAATAAATACTATTTTTAAGTCTTCACTATGAAGCACATAGTTTCTCTTCAGGCAAGATTGGACTGCCAATTTCTCTTCTTAAATCTTAATCCCTTCTATTCCAAAGTAAAAATAGGAACATGCAAACAGAAGTTCGTAGGGAATAAAGAATGGAACGCCCATCCTTCCAAAGTTATGGTCTTCCTCTAAATATCACTGAAAAATAGAATTCCACAATTAAAAAAATATTTTAGGGGCAGGCCCGGTGGCGTAGCAGTTAAGTACACATGCTCTGCTTCAGTGGCCCAGGGTTCACCAGTTCAGATCCTGGGCACGGACCTAGGCACCGCTTGTCAAGCCATCCTGGGGCAGGCATCCCACATATAAATTGGAGGAAGATGGGCATGTATGTTAGCTCAGGGCCAATCTTCCTTAGCAAAAAGAGGAGGATTGGCAGGGGATATTAGCTCAGAGCTAATCTTCCTCAAAAAAAAAAATTTTGATACCGGCAGAATACATTCTTTATGAATTCACAACTGTATACCTCACTTCCCAACAAATAATACTGGTACCTTTACTCTCTCCACTTTAATTTCTCTGGACCAGCCACCACCTCCAAAATCAAATGGTTTTATTTATCACTTATTTCTCAGCTTTTTTCCTTCAATATATTCTATTTCTACAACCATAGTTCCTGAACTCAACAATAACAAAATCAAAACTTCCTATCTTTCGTGACTCCCACCCTATCCATGCCTATTCCACTCTCATGTTTTCCTGAGCAGAAAAACCCAATACTGAATTTCTGCACTTGCGTGTGTCTTCTGTCCTTTTTCTTTCCACTCTGCTGCCTACAGGTTTTCTCCAAACACTTCTAATTTCCTCAAACTCTTATTACAACTAAAGTATTTACTCTTCCTAATTCTGCTATTTCTTTGTCACAGTTGAATCATAAAAGTTATATAAATCAGAACTATGTATAGATGGTCCTCTAACAAAAGTAATTTGTAAATTCTATTGTTATAAATTCCAGAGTAATATAAGTAGTCAATTATACTATCTGTTGGTTTGAGGAGGAGCTGAAACATTTTTGACTCAGACACGTAGCTCTGTTGATATCTGCGAAAGTTCCTAAGTTGAAATTTTGTAAGTAGAGGAGACCTCTGTCCTTTCAAACACTTAGTACATTGCTGTCTATGTGCCTAATAACTATGCTTTGTATATCATAGACACTCAATAAATATTTCATTCAGGTGACAAGGAATTTCACAATGGCTTAAAAGAAAAACAGTAAAAACCCATCTTCTTAAAAATCACAACCTTTACCTTCAACTCTAACGCTCTTTAATCCAACAAGTTCATATTTAAGAATAGAGTTTAAAGAAATGACAAAAATAAATAAGTAAATACATACATACACACACACACACACACAGAGAGATTTATCACAGCACCTAGATGTTCAACAGTGATGAATAAAATTATATCCATTCACTTGGAAGAATGTTATACAGCAATTTAAAATAACATCTACGTAGAATAGGAAATATTTTATGGAAAATGTTTGGGTAAAGGTTAAATGAAAAAGCAAGGTTCCAAATTTCATCCACAGTACTATTGCAGTTCATTTTACAGCTGTGCAGAGAAAAAAGACTAAAAGGAAATGCATCAATGAAATTACACATAATTTTTTTCTGTGCTTTCAAAATTCCTAAAATAAATACACATTACTTTTATAATGAAAAGAAAATAAATTTTACTATAAAAATCCCAATATTTTACTTATATAAGAAAGAAGACAGAGACTAAGTATAAGAGGTAACAAATGGAAATATCTGTATCTATACTATCTGTATTTTGGGTTTCTCCGTTTAGCAAACTCGCCTTATTCTACTACTGAGGTAATTTTATACAGGGGGTGGGAAATTTTAACAGCACTTCCAAATATGCCATTGCAACTTGGCTGTCGATAGTCCACGTCTCCAAATCACAGTTATTCTCAATCTGTTGACCTTACAGCCTGTCTAAAGAAGCTAGCCACAAACCCAGGACCAAACCTAATTTGAAATCCTATTTTTCCCACTTGCATGTTTTAAGCAAATCGTTAGATTTCATGCATCTTCAAAGATGTTGCAACAGTCTTTCTTAGCGGTGTTTATCAGTGACTCAAAACCCCTCCAGTCAACGAACTTACTGATGCCTAACCTAAATTTCTTCTTGTTTTCATCTGAACTCATTGCTTCCAGTTCTGTCCTCAGTGCAACCAAGAGCATCTGCTCACAGGCACAGACTCCGTCATATAGTGACCTTCTCTTTACATAATTGATTACTACGTTCCATATTCATCGCACCTAGTGTGATTTTCACTTGATTATAAATGGTGGTAAAACAGTTCCAAGAGATTCCTAAACCTCCTATTACTACTGCCAACTATAAAAGAAATACATGACAAATATTAAATTCAAAACTTAATGCTTTTGCCACTATCTCACTTGAAAAATCTTCCGTTTACTGTGAACGAGTTTTTGGTTAAAAGTAAAATCCCTTCGATCATTTTCTATCTTTGCTTCCTTTTGCCCCAGCCCCATACCAAAGCACAAGCATCCAGGTCGTATCTTATCTTTTCCTGCACAGTATCCCAACCGGCTTTTTATAGCCAGAAACTCTCTGAATGCAAAGCACGACCTTGCTTCCCCTGGCACTAGTTTGAAAGTTATTTATAACTTTAAAATTAGCGTGACAGCCTACATTTTGCATAATAACTGTTCAAAACATTCCCGTTTTATGTAATAACGTGATGTTCTCTAATTCAGAAGGAAACCCCACATTTTAAACCTACGATATATAACTAAGGCAGAACAATTCAACACAGAAAGAAGAATGCACTGAAGAAGTCCAGCTCTTCTCTTTACAAACTTGACTCTTACCTTTCTGCTGCTCCTTATAAAGTAAATGGGTTTAAATTTCGGTTCTCGTAGGGAATTTTCCAAAAAGAGCTTTGAAGGGGAAACAAAGAAGACGTCTTGGTTAGTCACAGAGTTACAGAGTACCAAATTGAGAGGCAGTGACAGTGGGGCAGTCACTTTAGCTAAGCGTCATTCACCCAGGATAAGAAAGAAAGGGGAGGTTACAAACCAGGGTGGGTGGTATCTAATCCTGAACTGCTAGTCACTGACCTCACTGACAACTTGTTACTGAAAATACTTCGTTGAAAAAGGCCAGACACATACTTTGCCTAGAGATCTACAAACATAGCTGTCAGGAAGCTCTGAATAAGTCAGATCTGCATTTCTCTAGTCCCTTTCCAAAATAAGGACCTCTTACATCTAATTAAAGCTGAAGGCTAGAATTATTGAGAGAAATAATAAAGCAGGGATAACAGGAATCCAAGAAATCCATACATCAAAGATCAATTATGTAAAATTCATTGTCTTCGGTACCACAGGATGATGTCTCACATCTGAGAAACTGTTTTTCCTCTGAAATCTTACCTGTCTCATACCCTCGCCCCAGGTATCACACTCTCTGCTTCCAGAATTTACGCAGAGCCACGTAATTATCGGTAACAAATGTAAAGTGAAGATTTACCAAAACTCCACGGGTGGAACCATTATTAAAGTTACCAAAAATATAGTCCTCTCCAACAAAATTTCCTTTTTCTAAAGCTATCCTTTTTCATATTTCCTCTTCCCTTTTTTTGGTATCCTCTTCATCGACATCTTAACATTCACTGAAACAATCTTGCATACCCCTGCCTTATGCTTTATCATTTCAATTCCTCGACACCCTACCTGAACTTGTACTGCATTTCCGTAAACATTACCACTTTGTGACTTTCTTCCAATAGCTTCTAAAACAATAGGTGGTAACTGCCTCTAAAATAGAACTATTCATTTGAGTTTTGGCATTCCTGTTCTTAAAAGGCTGAATTCAAAATAAAAAGAAGGCATTTATTTATTAGCTTCACAAGCACTCTTAGAACAAATATTAGCAGCCAAGAAGAAAGGCAGGGTCTGAGGAGTGCCAGAATCAACTATGAAAGGGGTTTCATTTTATATGATTTCTAGGGAAACCTGCAAAATAACTGTATATTTATGTAGATTACTTTAAAATGTGCATCCCTGGCATTATATTTATCTAAAGATTCTTAGTTTCTAACATACTTGTCCTCCCCAGATTTTTTTTAAAGCAGCCTTTTCCCCCTGGAGAATCTAGGAACAGCCTCTTTTCACAGTGAAAACAAAGAGAAAGTTTTATGTCTCTCAATCTGTCTTTTCTTGAATAAAGCAATCACTTGACACTTGCAAAATAGAAGTTTTTGTTTTAGAGCTTTAATAGTGAATGTTTTCCAAACCCAGACTGTTGAATTGAGACCAAGATAAGACATCCAAATTCTGTTAAGAACCAGCCTGTCCCCACTGCCAAACCAAGATACTTACCTGCTCTGTACCTCTCCTTTCCATCTGCAAAACCGAGATGAGAAGCCCTGTACTATCTACTTTTCAGGAGGTATGTGAATTAAATGGATAAAATCTGAAGTGCTTTAAACTACACTGAACTCCTCAGAGATGCAATATCGATGCGGTCACAGTACTTGGTGTTATCAAAACAATTAAATATTATAAATACGTAAAACGTAATTGTAAAGAGCTACGGAGTTTTGTAGGTTTTTTAATTTCCTTCATAAACATGTCTGCAGCCTCCCAGATAGGTTTTAGCTGAAGTATTTCCCACTACAGCCACAAGAGGTCCTCCTCCTAGCAATTCAAATCACGTCGGATTGGAGGATCAGAGGCCCCATAGTGCTCTGTATTTATATCGGTTGGCTGACAGAAAACACAGATCACCTATGTCAAACTTCCATAGCTAACTCTAGGGTAGCAAACAAAACCGGAAAAATCTGGCTTTCTCTGGGTGATCACTGAAGCATGCTGAACACTAAATAGTTCCTGCGAACTACACAGCCGCTGCATTCGGCACCCTGGCCCCCTTCCAGATTTTCACAGTAATGCCTTCTTGTCACCTTGCCCAGTCTTGTTCAGTATTTATTCTCCTTCCCTATTTACTTGTTTCCTTTCTTTATACTTTTCAAGCTTTACGTTTTGGCTCACATTCCTTTCGCAAACCAACAAAAGTTAGGGGTAGAAGAGCTGGAAAAAAAAAAAGAGTGACTAAATCGGGGCCATTGTAGCGATCCTCCCAAGGTAATCCAAAGTGTCTTTGGTGGCAGGTATCAGGGCTGGCCCCAGACAAAGTCGCTCAAGCACACGTACTGAGAAAATCCTTGATGCAGAGCCCTATGTTAGGAGCCAGAGAGAAGATCAGAGGCACAGAAGGGCAGCCTCCAAAAAGAAAACAATTCTATCCCTATCAGCAGCACTTCTTGAAAATTAAGCCCTCCAGGGTGCCATTAGTTCTTTAATCAGAATGCAATACAATTTCTTCTTTCCATTAAAATACCTTAAAGAATGAACATAGCTTCTGCATGAGCCATGAGTCCATTTTATTCTATACATGATACTTCAAATTGTTGGCAATTTCAGGTTGGGACTTAAAAAAATGTGTGATTTTCTGAACAGCTATAACACCTTTTTAAGATGAGATTTAAAGCTAAGGATAATTTCTGTTTGTGATAATTGAAATTTTTTTATTCCAAAAATTGTGATAAATAGTTCTGGCATTTGGTTGGATGTTTTAGGTGAATCTAAATGAATGTGCGCCTGTTTCAAAGGTCTTACGTACCATAGCAAAAAGATGTTTTCCACTCTCCTTTCTCACCCACTCTGTTACTAGCTGCTAATCAACTCTGCCGCCTCGATGAGAAAAACAGAAGCCATCTGGGGAGATGTCCGATGTTTTCTCATCCCAAATCCACAAGACCACCAGCATGGAGCCCCATCTTCTCTGCCTTCCCTCCTATTACAATGCAAGAAGTACCCTTGCTCCTACCAAAGAGCTAATCTCCCCTCTTCTGCTCTAAACTGCATTAGCACCCTTTCTCTAACGGTCAGCACAAAAATCTGCCAGAGGACCTCTAACTTAAAAGTATCAAATAAAAACAGTAGCTTCACCCCACAGCTCCCTCCAGTGGCTCCTCCCAGTTCTCTGCTGCCTTTATCGCACTACTTCCCAAATATGTTGCTTACCATCTCTACATTTTCACCTCTCATTCACTCCACAACCCACTCCATGGGACTTCTGTCTCCCACATTGCCAAAAGGGCCATTTTTAAGTCTCCTAACAATTTCTCTGTGGCCAAATCCCTACCGTGACCTCAGGGGATATCTTCTCCAATCCTATGGCTTCAAATGAGATCTGTAATAGGATGGTGAGTGGGACTTTTCCCGTTGCTCAGAACTGGCAAGTAAGCCTCAAAATGAAAGAAATCAAGCCATCTGTGTACACTGCATGCTAAGGAATTTGTAGTATTTGAGGACAGACGCCTCGCTCAGAGCTTACTAAAAAGCATTAGGAAAATTGCTGCATGTTCTTCCTCTCCTCTTCCCTCTCCTAGCCCCAACACCAGAGAAAAGTTAGGGGACTTGAAAAATTAGGGGAACAAGGCCAACGATTTCTCTCCTCTCAAAGATACAAGAGCAGAAGAAATGGTGAAAAACGTGATCTTGCCCCTTCCTACTTCTAAGGCCCTGAAAAGGACAGCCGGTCAGTGCCGGAGGAAGGGGAGGAGATGAGATTTAAGTCGGAATGAGATGAAGTTTGAAACTAGACCAGCAGGCCTCTAAAGAGCTGAAAATGGCAAAAAATTATGGAGCCTACGCAATGTATCCTTAAGGAATAAGGAAGATGCAACAGAGTAAAGTGAAATGCAGGGACTGAGGAAAGCAAACTAATTCACCCAATACCAGTCACATATCCATATGCTAACAATTCCCAGATTTGCTGCCCCAAACCAGACCTCTCTCATGAGCCCCAGAGAAATACACCCGACTGCCTTCTCCACTGGACAGCTAATACACATTTCAAACTTAATGTGTCCCAAAAAAGAGCTCTTCACTTTACCTCTCAAACCTATTTCTCTCTGTTATTCATATGCTAGTAATTGGTACCACCATCTAATTGCTTATGTCAAAACCTAGGAGTCATCCTTTATCCATTCTTTTCCCTCACAATTATCAAGAATTTCTATTAATTCTACTTCCAAAAGTTATGTTTAATACATCCACTTGTGTCTATCTCCCCCGCCCCAACTGTTCTGAGGCACGTGCAATTCATTTTCTACATAGCATCTAAGTGATCTTTCGGAACACAGCTTAGCTCATGTTATTCTGTTTAAAATCGCCTGATAGCTTCTTATTACTCACAGCAGAAAATACAAATTCTTTACCAAATCTCCAAGGCCCTGCATGATCTGGCTCCTGTCAACCTCTCCCATTTTGACGCACAGCACTCTTCCCCCTAGTTCATTGACTTCAGTTATACTTTCTATTCATAAAATGCCCAAGCTGACTCCCTTAGGGTCATTGCACTTGCTGTTCCTCTGCCTGAAATCATTTTCTCCCAGCTATGTACATGTCTGCCCCATTCTCATCCTTGATATAATCCTTCACCTTCTCAGAGAGGTATTACCTGATTACCTTATCTCACTGCCCCCACTCACTTAACGCAACCTTGCATATTTATTTATTTGTTTACTTACTCTGTCTTCACCATTGGAATGAAAGCTAGGGGCAGCAGCAGTGTCATAACAGCATGGCATATGAAAATTAACTATAGTACAAGGTAAGGAAAGCATCAATAGAAATGCGATTTCAAAGGAGGGAGAGAGAGCTCTAGGAGGAGGGAGTTATCTAGGAAATTTTCCTGGAGGGAGTTATATTTGCATTGATGCAGAAATGAAAGATGTTAGCATCATAAGAGAAAGGTGTTCTATTAATTTTATTTCTCAAATATGCTTCAAATCCATTGCCTCTCCATCTTTACAGCTACTACCTTGGTACAACTAGTTATGTCTTATTTTTTTACTTTATATGTTATATTTATCACCTAATTTCTCCCTTTGCTTCTATTTCACTTTGTGTAAACCCAAACACAGCATTTAAATGTTAGGTGCATTTAGTGCCAAAATTAAAAATTTCAATTTAACTATTTCAGAACTACTGAAATTGACACATTAACTTTATTGCCTTGGTGATAACAGAAGAGCTAAAATAAATGTTTTTCTCACTTAATTTTCCCAGAGTGCCATGCCTCAACTTTGACAACCTATCTTGCTGTTAGTCAATAACCTTAACAAGCACAGTAATTACCGTCAATCATGTCTGCTCTAGCTCATTGATTACTTTGTTACTTCTTTTTCAACTGTTAATGAAAATTCCCAGCCAAGACCTTCTGGGTGACATTTCTTTTACTAATTAACCACCCTATCAGTCCCTTGAATATATTAATAACCCAGAGTATCCTGCATTGATGGTTCTAAAAACAAACTGCTGTTGCAACTTTGAAAATCACAGTCATTTTCAGAGATACAGACACCTAGAATGAAATCGACATTTACTGTCACTGAACCTGTCTATTTCAAATTATGTAAACAAGAGATATATTATATTACTTCTAAAGAACTAACATTTAATTTTTACTTGATACAGCTTTTAAAATGTTAAAGAAATTGTCTTTGCGATTCTAACCTCAAAAGCTAGTAGTAAATGACATAAACAACAAGTAATGTAGCATCTTAGACTAGAGGCATTCGACCAGGGGTGCGGGAGTGTTGATAGCATTTAAAAGGTAGAATGATTTTTGGCCTCCTAAGAGTACCAGGTGAAATTTACCTTTGAGACAAATTGTCTCTTTCTCAGAAAACAAATATAGATTTTCTAGTTGTAGAAATGTATAGAAAGTCTCACCTAAAACTTGATGAAGGAAATGACTGCCATCATTGTACACAGAGAAATTCAGTACGGTATGTCCCTGCAGACTCTTATTGCTTCTTAAAGAGAACCATTTCTTTTCTCTATATAAATATTCATGGTTCTCAAACCCATCAGAACTTATACCCCTTTATAAAATAAATATTTTCAAATGTCCTTTTTTAACACCCTGAAATGAAATTCATAGTTATTAACTATCTCCACTGAGTCTTCAAAATATATTTTATAAATAAATGTCACTATATATAATTATATGTATTTACATAAATCATATATTTGCATTTCATTACACAAATGCTCAGGCACACTTACACTGGAACACATAATAAAAGTCACTTTTCCCCTTATGCACAGAATTGAAGCCAGCTCAACACAAGGTTGACATAAGGGAAGCCATATTGTAGGAAAGAGACTATGTTGTAACTTTGAATGACCTCTGACTAACTAACCCAGCTGGATTTGCACCCTCCAGGAGATCCACCTGTTCTGTAGATTTTATGACCCCTGCTAGTGCATACACCTCCCAGCTGCAATAAGACAATAGCTACGTTCTTTTGATGACCCCCCCAAACAGAGAGTCTATGCTCATAGGCATCATCAATGAAAACTGAAAGATCTGGTGTGGCAACTCCCAGTCTGTAACACCAGAGGGTCAACATTCCTAACCCCTCCCCTATAACCCACTGGCCTATTTAACTGCTTCAAGATTCTGTGCCCCCCTTAAACATGGTTCTTTTGGACATTAGTTGGCCATCTTCCCTCTTGCTAGCCAGCTATAATAAAATGCCCTTTCTCTGCCACCATCTTGCCTCTTGACGGTTGGCTTTTTTGTCTAGCGTTGAGCAGATTGTGCCCTTTCTGCAGTAACAGAATCACTGTGATCAATGTGACAGCTACAAATGTAGGTTGATTAGGATGTGTTGTATTGGCAATTCCAATACCACCAGCAGCACTGAAACAGTGGTGTGATTTTTCTGACATGGTGAACAACTCTTGATACAATACAGAACAAAACAAGAACAATCTTGCATTCCTCGAAAATTCAGCATACATTAAAACTGTGCAAAAAATTCTTTGTACTTATTAGTAAAACCAGAGTTAGGTTCTAGGCTTAGAAAATTATAAGCAGGACCTACATGAATGCCCAGTGGGATATTTGAAAATTGCATGGAACGTGGGACAATTCATTTTAGATGGGAGTTCCACACATTGCAAAACTTCTACATTTCTTTGGCGCAAGCCAATTAAATGCCGAATGTGCCCCACAATTACTGTGACAACCAAAGCTACTTGCTCTCAGGGTATGGAGGGAGAAGGGAGACTTGAGAACCAGTCCTGTAAACCACTGCATGTTTCGAAGAGCCCCAAGGCTGAAATGAGGAAGATGATAGATGCATAGATAGATAGGAAGGAAGGAAGGAAAGAAGGCAGGAAAATTATGTAGAGTCCTAACTGAAATGGCATAACACAACATGGAATGGATTATTAAAGTCTCAAACATGGTTTTAAGAGAATAGTTAAGATTCCTAGGACATGTAATAAAGACAGCTATGATAATTGCCTGGAGGAAAGAAGGAGGTGACATCCACAGAGCCAGACCATATCCTATGTGTGAGGGAGTGAGGTTCCTCCTGAAAAGAATGGATATCCCCATTGTTATTTATTCTGGGGAAGAAGTTGATTCCAGGACAGAAATGAGAACTAGAAAAACAGGTTTTTAGCTGAAAAGGAGGGAAAGTCCCTTTTCTCTCTGAAGTCCCACGGTTTGGGAGCCAAGACTCCAGATAGAATAGACAGCCAGAGAGTATCTCACAATGGAGAGGCAAGCTGGCATGTTCATAATAGCAGTAGATGGGAACAAGTTAGAGGAACATTTTTAAGGATGTCTTGAAAATGGCTCAGAACTTGAACCAGGGTTAGCCACAGTTACTGTTATAATTATTATCTGTCTGTCTTTTCTTTATCCTGCGTCTTTCTGTAAACTCTAGTTAAATGCTATGCTGTGGAAAATTAAGGGAAGGGCCTGTCTCCTGATTCGGATGTAACATCCGCCTGGAGAACAGGAGCAAACGCAGCAGCGCAGTAGCATGACGAGG